ACTGAGAGACACAACACACACTGAGAGAGACTGAGAGACACAACCACACTGAGAGGAGACCAACTGAGAGACACACACTGAGAACACACCACCCTGAGACACACAAACCACACTAGAGAGAGACACAACCACACTGAGAGAGACACAACCACACGAGAGACGACACAACCACACTGAGAGAACACACACACTGAGAGACACAACACACTGAGAGACACACAACCACACTGAGAGAACAGACCAACACTGAGACAGACACAACCACACTGAGAGACACACAACCACACTGAGAGAGACACACAACACACCTGAGAGACACACCAACCACACTGAGAGAGACACACACCACTGAGAGAGACACAACAACTGAGAGACACACAACCACTGAGAGACACACAACCACACTGAGAGAGACACAACCACACTGAGAGAGAGACACAACCACACTGAGAGACACACAACCCACTGAGGAGAGACACAACCACACTGAGAGACACAACCACACTGAGAGACACACAACCACACTGAGAGACACACAACCACACTGAGAGAGACACCAACCACACTGAGAGACACACAACACACACTGAGAGACACAACCACACTGAGAGAGAGAGAGACACAACCACACTGAGAGAGACACAACCACACTGAGAGACACAACACACTGAGAGAGACACACACACACCACACTGAGAGAGACACAACCACACTGAGAGAGACACACAAACCACACTGAGAGGACACACAACCACACTGAGAGAGACACAACCACACTGAGAGAGAGACACACAACCACACTGAGAGACACAACCACACTGAGAGAGAACACAACTGAGAGACACAACCACACTGAGAGAGAACACACAACCACACTGAGAGACACAACACACAGAGACCACACACTGAGAGAGACACACACTACACTGAGAGAACACACACACTGAGAGAGAACACAATCACACTGAGAGAGACACACAACACACTGAGAGACACACAACCACACTGAGAGAGACACAACCACACTGAGAGAGACACACACAACCACACTGAGAGAGACACAACCACACTGAGAGACACACACCACACTGAGAGAACACACACCACACTGAGAGAGACACAACCACACTGAGAGAGACACACAACCACACTGAGAGAGACACAACACACTGAGAGAGACACACACAACCACACTGAGAGAGACACAACCACACTGAGAGAGACACACAACCACACTGAGAGAGACACAACACACCTGAGAGACACACAACCACACTGAGAGAGACACTGAGAGAGACACAACACACTGAGAGACACAACCACACTGAGAGACACACAACCACACTGAGAGAGACACACAACCACACTGAGAGAGACACACAACCACACTGAGAAGACACAACCACACTGAGAGAGAGACACACACACTGAGAGACACACACTGAGAGACACACAACCACACTGAGAGACACAACAAGACACACCACTGAGAGAAAACACAACCACACTGAGAGAGACACACAACACAACACACTGAGAGAGACTGAGAGACACAACCACACTGACTGAGAGACACACAACCACACTGAGAGACACACACAACCACACTGAGAGACACAAACACTGAGAGAGGACACACAACACACTGAGAGACACACAACCACACTGAGAGAGACACAAACACACTGAGAGACACACAACCACAAGACACAACCACACTGACAGAGAGACCACACTGAGAGAGACACAACCACACTGAGAGACACAACCACACTGAGAGAGAGAGAGACACACAACCACACTGAGAGAGAGACACACAACCACACTGAGAGAGACACACAACCACACTGAGAGACACACAACCACACTGAGAGAGACACAAACACTGAGAGACACAACCCACACTGAGAGACACACAACCACACTGAGAGAGACACAACACACAGAGAGAGACACAACCACACTGAGAGAGACACACACCACACTGAGAGAGACACAACCACACTGAGAGTGAGACACACAACCACACTGAGAGAGACACACACAACCACACTGAGAGGAGACACACAACCACACTGAGAGAGACACAACACACTGACACACTGAGAGACACAACACACTGAGAGACACAAACACACACTGAGACGACACACACCACACTGAGAGAGACACACAACCACACTGAGAGACACCAACCACACTGAGAGAGACACAACCACACTGAGAGAGACACACAACCACACTGAGAGACACACACCACACTGAGAGAGACACAAACCACACTGAGAGACACAACACACACTGAGAGAGACACACACCACACTGAGAGAGAGAGAGAGACACAACCACACTGAGAGAGACACACACACACACAACCACACTGAGAGAGACACACAACCACACTGAGAGACACAACCACACTGAGAGAGACACACAACCACACTGAGAGACACACAACCACACTGAGAGACACACAACCACACTGAGAGACACACAACCACACTGAGAGAGACACAACCACACTGAGAGAGAGACACAACCACACTGAGAGAGAGACACACAACCACACTGAGAGAGACACACAACCACACTGAGAGACACACAACCACACTGAGAGAGACAACACACCACACATGAGAGACACACTGAGAGAGCAACACAACACACTGAGAGGACACACAACCACACTGAGAGACACACAACCACACTGAGAGAGACACACCAACCACACTGAGAGAGAGACACACAACACACTGAGAGAGACACACAACCACACTGAGAGAGACACACAACCACACTGAGAGAGACACAACCACACTGAGAGAGAGAGACTGAGAGAGACACAACCACACTGAGAGACACAACCACACTGAGACACAGAGACACACAACCACACTGAGAGACACACAACCACACTGAGAGAGAGACACACAGACCACACTGAGAGAGACACACACACAACACACTGACTGAGAGACACAACCACACTGAGAGACACACACAACCACACTGAGAGACACACAACCACAC